GTTAGGGTTAGGGTTAGGGTTCTTCCCAGGATACCGTTAGGGTTAGGGTTAGGGTTCTTCCCAGGATACCGTTAGGGTTAGGGTTAGGGTTCTTCCCAGGATACCGTTAGGGTTAGGGTTAGGGTTCTTCCCAGGATACCGTTAGGGTTAGGGTTAGGGTTCTTCCCAGGATACCGTTAGGGTTAGGGTTAGGGTTCTTCCCAGGATACCGTTAGGGTTAGGGTTAGGGTTCTTCCCAGGATACCGTTAGGGTTAGGGTTAGGGTTAGGTTTCTTCCCAGGATACCGTTAGGGTTAGGGTTAGGGTTAGGTTTCTTCCCAGGATACCGTTAGGGTTAGGGTTAGGGTTAGGTTTCTTCCCAGGATACCGTTAGGGTTAGGGTTAGGGTTAGGTTTCTTCCCAGGATACCGTTAGGGTTAGGGTTAGGGTTAGGTTTCTTCCCAGGATACCGTTAGGGTTAGGGTTAGGGTTAGGTTTCTTCCCAGGATACCGTTAGGGTTAGGGTTAGGGTTAGGTTTCTTCCCAGGATACCGTTAGGGTTAGGGTTAGGGTTAGGTTTCTTCCCAGGATACCGTTAGGGTTAGGGTTAGGGTTAGGTTTCTTCCCAGGATACCGTTAGGGTTAGGGTTAGGGTTAGGTTTCTTCCCAGGATACCGTTAGGGTTAGGGTTAGGGTTAGGTTTCTTCCCAGGATACCGTTAGGGTTAGGGTTAGGGTTAGGTTTCTTCCCAGGATACCGTTAGGGTTAGGGTTAGGGTTAGGTTTCTTCCCAGGATACCGTTAGGGTTAGGGTTAGGGTTAGGTTTCTTCCCAGGATACCGTTAGGGTTAGGGTTAGGGTTAGGTTTCTTCCCAGGATACCGTTAGGGTTAGGGTTAGGGTTAGGTTTCTTCCCAGGATACCGTTAGGGTTAGGGTTAGGGTTAGGTTTCTTCCCAGGATACCGTTAGGGTTAGGGTTAGGGTTAGGTTTCTTCCCAGGATACCGTTAGGGTTAGGGTTAGGGTTAGGTTTCTTCCCAGGATACCGTTAGGGTTAGGGTTAGGGTTAGGTTTCTTCCCAGGATACCGTTAGGGTTAGGGTTAGGGTTAGGTTTCTTCCCAGGATACCGTTAGGGTTAGGGTTAGGGTTAGGTTTCTTCCCAGGATACCGTTAGGGTTAGGGTTAGGGTTAGGTTTCTTCCCAGGATACCGTTAGGGTTAGGGTTAGGGTTAGGTTTCTTCCCAGGATACCGTTAGGGTTAGGGTTAGGGTTAGGTTTCTTCCCAGGATACCGTTAGGGTTAGGGTTAGGGTTAGGTTTCTTCCCAGGATACCGTTAGGGTTAGGGTTAGGGTTAGGTTTCTTCCCAGGATACCGTTAGGGTTAGGGTTAGGGTTAGGTTTCTTCCCAGGATACCGTTAGGGTTAGGGTTAGGGTTAGGTTTCTTCCCAGGATACCGTTAGGGTTAGGGTTAGGGTTAGGTTTCTTCCCAGGATACCGTTAGGGTTAGGGTTAGGGTTAGGTTTCTTCCCAGGATACCGTTAGGGTTAGGGTTAGGGTTAGGTTTCTTCCCAGGATACCGTTAGGGTTAGGGTTAGGGTTAGGTTTCTTCCCAGGATACCGTTAGGGTTAGGGTTAGGGTTAGGTTTCTTCCCAGGATACCGTTAGGGTTAGGGTTAGGGTTAGGTTTCTTCCCAGGATACCGTTAGGGTTAGGGTTAGGGTTAGGTTTCTTCCCAGGATACCGTTAGGGTTAGGGTTAGGGTTAGGGTTAGGGTTAGGGTTAGGGTTAGGATTCTTCCCAGGATACCGTTAGGGTTAGGGTTAGGGTTCTTCCCAGGATACCGTTAGGGTTAGGGTTAGGGTTCTTCCCAGGATACCGTTAGGGTTAGGGTTAGGGTTCTTCCCAGGATACCGTTAGGGTTAGGGTTAGGGTTCTTCCCAGGATACCGTTAGGGTTAGGGTTAGGGTTCTTCCCAGGATACCGTTAGGGTTAGGGTTAGGGTTCTTCCCAGGATACCGTTAGGGTTAGGGTTAGGGTTCTTCCCAGGATACCGTTAGGGTTAGGGTTAGGGTTAGGTTTCTTCCCAGGATACCGTTAGGGTTAGGGTTAGGGTTAGGTTTCTTCCCAGGATACCGTTAGGGTTAGGGTTAGGGTTAGGTTTCTTCCCAGGATACCGTTAGGGTTAGGGTTAGGGTTAGGTTTCTTCCCAGGATACCGTTAGGGTTAGGGTTAGGGTTAGGTTTCTTCCCAGGATACCGTTAGGGTTAGGGTTAGGGTTAGGTTTCTTCCCAGGATACCGTTAGGGTTAGGGTTAGGGTTAGGTTTCTTCCCAGGATACCGTTAGGGTTAGGGTTAGGGTTAGGTTTCTTCCCAGGATACCGTTAGGGTTAGGGTTAGGGTTAGGTTTCTTCCCAGGATACCGTTAGGGTTAGGGTTAGGGTTAGGTTTCTTCCCAGGATACCGTTAGGGTTAGGGTTAGGGTTAGGTTTCTTCCCAGGATACCGTTAGGGTTAGGGTTAGGGTTAGGTTTCTTCCCAGGATACCGTTAGGGTTAGGGTTAGGGTTAGGTTTCTTCCCAGGATACCGTTAGGGTTAGGGTTAGGGTTAGGTTTCTTCCCAGGATACCGTTAGGGTTAGGGTTAGGGTTAGGTTTCTTCCCAGGATACCGTTAGGGTTAGGGTTAGGGTTAGGTTTCTTCCCAGGATACCGTTAGGGTTAGGGTTAGGGTTAGGTTTCTTCCCAGGATACCGTTAGGGTTAGGGTTAGGGTTAGGTTTCTTCCCAGGATACCGTTAGGGTTAGGGTTAGGGTTAGGTTTCTTCCCAGGATACCGTTAGGGTTAGGGTTAGGGTTAGGTTTCTTCCCAGGATACCGTTAGGGTTAGGGTTAGGGTTAGGTTTCTTCCCAGGATACCGTTAGGGTTAGGGTTAGGGTTAGGTTTCTTCCCAGGATACCGTTAGGGTTAGGGTTAGGGTTAGGTTTCTTCCCAGGATACCGTTAGGGTTAGGGTTAGGGTTAGGTTTCTTCCCAGGATACCGTTAGGGTTAGGGTTAGGGTTAGGTTTCTTCCCAGGATACCGTTAGGGTTAGGGTTAGGGTTAGGTTTCTTCCCAGGATACCGTTAGGGTTAGGGTTAGGGTTAGGTTTCTTCCCAGGATACCGTTAGGGTTAGGGTTAGGGTTAGGTTTCTTCCCAGGATACCGTTAGGGTTAGGGTTAGGGTTAGGTTTCTTCCCAGGATACCGTTAGGGTTAGGGTTAGGGTTAGGTTTCTTCCCAGGATACCGTTAGGGTTAGGGTTAGGGTTAGGTTTCTTCCCAGGATACCGTTAGGGTTAGGGTTAGGGTTAGGTTTCTTCCCAGGATACCGTTAGGGTTAGGGTTAGGGTTAGGTTTCTTCCCAGGATACCGTTAGGGTTAGGGTTAGGGTTAGGTTTCTTCCCAGGATACCGTTAGGGTTAGGGTTAGGGTTAGGTTTCTTCCCAGGATACCGTTAGGGGTTCTTCCCAGGATACCGTTAGGGTTAGGGTTATGGTTAGGGTTAGGGTTAGGGTTAGGATTCTTCCCAGGATACCGTTAGGGTTAGGGTTTGGGTTAGGGTTCAAAATGTGATTTTAAAACATGCCCCTTTGTAGTCCATCCCATGCAATACCAAGATGAATTTAACTAATTCTCTATTTTGGGACATTTAAGCTGCTTTCAATATTTTGCCATTGCAAATAACACTGCATGAATGTGCTTGTACCTCCATCCTTGGGGACAGCTCTGATATTTTTCAGAGGTTAAATGACAAAACGTTGAATAACCCACCACATGGGTTGGCTTTTGGATGTTGTCTTTTGAGTCTCATTACCAAATACAACTTGATGCCACTGCCAACAGCATCTGAGGGTCTCTTTTTGTGCCCACACTGGTAATTTTCTAATAGGAATAATTTTTCTTTGTTTTGTAGGTAAAACATGGGAGTTTGGTTTAAGTGGAATGTAACTGATTCCTGGGAGGTGAAATATGACTTTAGGTTTGCTGTCCATTTGTGTTTCTCCTTATTTCAGAGTTTCCCTTTCCCCACAGGGTGCCAGCCCGGCTCAGGCAAGCCCTGTCCTTCCTTTTCCACGGGACTTACGTCAATCTCTCACAGAAGAACGCGATGCTGTCAAGTGCTTTGCAAACAGAACACGCGTCAGGAAAATGCACACTTACAAGGTCCGCAGGGGGCCCGGCGGCCGCATTTGTCATCCCTCCAGCGAGGAGGCCCGAGTTCCTCCCAGGGCTGTAACCCTCCCATCTCCCCCGCGGGCCGGGCTGGACACCACTGCCCAGGGGCCATCAGAGCCGCACGACCTAACAACTTCACCAGGTCTTTACACGACTGTGCCTGTGCCTCAGAGGAAGTGATCCCCGCTGCTCGGAGGAAGCGAACAACTATAAATCAGGTTCGAATGTGGTGCCGACTTATTTATCCTTGTGAGAGTTTTACGTTCTGAAGTCAGCAAGGGACTCGTTGCTGGTCCGTGGCCCATGTGCAGTCATCTCTTCGGGGAAGCTCGGTCCCCTTGCTCAGTGGGATGGCATGTGCCGGGGGCTGGTAGGAGCCGAGGCACCCCACCGGACACAGGCCCGGTCGTGTATCTCATCTGGACCTAATGTATCTTCCAGAGCCGTGGACACAGACAGGAAGCCACCACACAGCGGGAAACGCTTCCTGGCTGTGCTGAAACTGCTCTCCGGCCCCTCCCTGACCTCCCCGAGTTCCTCCTCCTCCAGCGGGAATGTTTGCCTGGCCGGCAGCTGCGTCCTGGCCGACACCATGGTGAGTCATTTCAGGGTCCATGTGGTAGAAGAGTGGCTTTCTGGCCTGTGGCTGGTGCTAATGAGCCACCAAGGCCAAGGCTGAACTCAGTGTCCTGCAATGAAGTATGCTACATCCTTACAAGAGATTATTGGGCAACTATTAAAAACAATGTTTTCAAATGTTTTTATACTACTGATAAATGCTCATGACATGAAGTAAAATGAAAGATATAAAACTCACATAGAGAATGTAGCATGTGATCCAGATGATGTAAAAGCCTAGCTAGAAATATTGTAAAATGGTAACCACGGTGATTTCTGCAGGTAAGATTATGTTTGGGTTTTATGTCCTTTGCTATTATACAGTGGGGCCTTGACTTACGAGTGTCCCGACTAATGAGTTTTTCAAGATATCAGCCGTCTCTCGGCCGATTTTTTGCTTTGAGTTGTGAGCTAAAATTCGGGTTATGAGCCAGCTTCAGATACCCCACTGCTAGTTGGCGCAGCGAACGTCACAGTGAACGCCACAACATCAGCCCAGCATCACGTGTCTCACTCGTTCACTTTATGATTTGACATACGAGTAATTTGAGTTACGAGCTCTGTCACAGAACGAATTAAACTTGTAAGTCAAGGCCCCACTGTATTTTTAAAATTTTCTAAATTAAGTATCTGTGACTTTTACTTACCATCCCCCTCCGGTTGTTAATCTTTAGAACAACCAAGTCTGATGTACTATGCCCCAGGCCTCTGAAGATTTTGCAAGTTCTTACTTGTTATCCAATTCCGTTCTCATCATGTGGGAGCTGGAAAGGGGTGAGCTGTGAAACCGAGGGTGAGGCCACCGCCTTCACCCGTCTCACTGGATATTAGCCGCACCTGCCTCCCTCACATGCTTCTTTCCCTCCTCCCGCAGGACACAAACATGGCGGTGACATCTCAACAACAGTATCAGCCGCAGGACCACCCATACGCCAGAGACTGGACGAAAACATGCCCTGTTGTCTTACTTGATCTTCACAACGACTCCTTTACAAGTGAGAAAGCTGCGTTTATTGAGGTTGAGTAATGAGTGGGTCTATCTTAATCTGCATACATTTGCGGGGAAGGAGGGAGGAGAGGCCCCGGGACCTGCGGCCTGGGCTGCTGGACTGAGAAGCTGGCTGGGGCGTTGTATCACCACGGGGCCATGTGTACGAATCTCTCTGACCAGGAGTGACAACCCACTCGAGAATAACACGAGTTCACATGGACAGGGGTCACAGGCATCTTGCTTGTGGGAAGGAAGAGGTGGGACGCTCTCAGTCAGGAACGTGGCCCTCAGCTGCGCCTGCCTTGCACTCACCCTCACCGCTGTTAGCCTGGCCGGCGGTGGTAAGGGTTTGAGATGCCGGGCACCGTGCAGGCCCGGGGCCCCTGTGGATGACGTGGTGGCTCCCTGGGGAGCTGGGACCTTTCCTACAGTTTGCCTGGAAGTGTCAGCAGCAGATTGGGCCTCACCGGGCGGCTCCCCAACCCATGGGTGGTGGGGGCCCAGCAGTGAGATGGGGATGCTTGCTGGCCAAATGGGCTGTGAGGCGCTGATGTTGTGAGAATACTGAGTATTCCAGACAAGTAAATCCCACCTACTATCACGCAGACATGCAATTACACAGTTACGTTTTTCCTATTCTAATATATAGAAAAATGCAGACTGTACAAAACATTGTTTTTACTACAACAAAAGCAGTTCATCATGAGCCCTGGATACAAGGTTAGCCAGTGCCGAATGTAACTTGCATGTGTTTTTCTAAAATAGTCGCTTGAGCCGTGAGTACTGGTCTGCCTCAGCCATAGCCTGGACAGATGGCCCCGTGGGGACCTCCAAGCTCAAGGGCAGTTCTTCCTGGGCCAGGGTCACAGGCTCTTGAGGTCCTCCAAGACCACGTGGGCTGCATTGCGACCAGCAGCTCCCATGACCCCTCCTCCTGGAAGGGAATCTCCCATGAGCCAAAGCTGCACTCCACGCCCCTCCCCCTGCCCCCGCCAGGGAGCGGGCAGGGCCAGGGCTCGCAGGGGAGCAGTGGCCAAGCAGAGTGAGGATGCTGGAGTGCTCTGGTGTGGGCCTAAGAACCACCCTGACCCCTGACCCCTGAGGAAGACAGGCTCTGGGCTCCCCTGCAGGTTTCCTGCCTCAGAGCTCTGGGGAGGGGCCCAGCCCACAGTCCAAGCGAGTGCCCCTTTGGGTATGAGCGCCCATGTGCCTGATGGGAGACCCTCAGCATGTGAAACTGGCACAGGACTGAGGGCTTGAGGGGAGGAGGGGAAGGACAGGGCCCAGGTAAGTGTTGGCATGAACGGAGGCCTGGGGGAGGCCAGTCACGCTGGGGAAAGGGGAGGGGAGAGTGTTTAAATGGAGACATTAACTTACCGATCCTGACTGGTCTGAATGAAGGAGGGGATTTAGGGGCACGGGTACCTCACAGTCCAAATGGAATGTGGGGAGATGCCTCGGGGCCATACCCCCAAACCTCCTGAGGAGGGTGCGAGCTACCAGGCCTGGGCTGTGGCCCGCCCGGCAGAGGGCACCAGGTCCCCCAGCTCTGAGAATCCTGACTGTGGGGATGGTTGTTCCTGTGGGGGTCCCGGGCCCCTCCCTGCCTCCCTCCCTGTTTATCCGGTCCCCATCTGTCCCCGTCCGCATGCCTCTGACGTCCCGCCAGCCCTCGCCACCCACACGGGGTGGTGGGACGGAGGGGCACTCACCAGGGTGGGCCCCACTTCCACAAAGGTAGAGGCCTGGGAGCGGGCAGCGGTGGCCGGCGTGCAGGGGCGTGGGGCGGGCGAAGTAGAGCTGGTCCAGGGCCATGGCGCCATGGAATATGTTCTGTGGAGGCAGGGCCAGGGTGTGAACACAGGAGTGTTTGGGTCTTCACTCCCCTGTGCTCCCCAAGGGCCCCCCTTCCGGGATGCTCTCCTGGTTCTTAGGATGCAGAGAGGACACAGGGGCACGTCCCCGGGGCTGGGGGGAGCTTCCCAGGGGCATGTTTTCAGGGAGAAAGAAGGTGGGAGCATCTGCAGAGGCGAGGGAACCGGGACACTGACAGGGAGATTCTCCATGTTCTGCTATGGACTGCGAATCCCGCTCTGTTTGCAATGAGAGGAACCCGACTGATTTCGGCTGCTGGCACGCGTTTCTTTGACCAGGACACCGTCTGAGCCTGGGCCGGGGATCCACGCTCCACAGAAACACAGGAGGTGGCAGACGAGGGGCCTGGGGACCGAGCTCGGCTCTGCTCCGATGGCCTGGGCAGACCAGCCTGGCCGGGGCTGGGGTGGGGGTGGGGGGCAGGTCTGGGCAAGACGACGAACATCTGCAGGATGTTTCCAGCCGGCTTCTCAGCATGCCCCTCACCGACCTCATCCCTCAAGCCTGCTCTTGCCGGCCCCCCCGCCCCCTCAGTGGAGAAGCCACCTTCCTCTCCTCGGCCTCCAGGCGGACCCTCATGTCACCCCCGCCCACCTCATGCCTTCCACACCCACCCACTCCTTTCCCTTCCCCCTGCCTGGCCTCCTTTATCCTAGAGCTGGACCAGGGATCCAATAAAATCTAACGTGGGCCACATAGGTGACTTTTATTTTCTAGGAGCCACATTAAAATTTTAAAAAGGGACTGGTGAAATCAATGTCAACGTGTGTTTCATTTAACCCAGTAGACCCAGCACATTATCATTTCAACACGGGATCAATAGCGCCGTAATGAATGAGACACTGTACACTTTTCCCACATGAAGTCTTTGCAACCTGGTGTGCCTTTTACACGAGCAGCACATCCCGTTTGGGCCCAGACACAGGGCCGCGGTCAGCAGCCACAGGAGGCTGGTGCCACGGGGTTGGGACTGGCCTCCTCACTCGCCCCCCTGCCTCCAGCCTCAGGGAGGCTTGGGACCCTGACCAGGAGCCTGAGGGCCGGCTGCCTGGAGGAAGGACGCTCCCTCTGAAGAAGCTCAAATGGGACGGGCGGCCATGGACGTCCAGGCGGAGGGGCCCCCGTCCTGGTGAGCTCCCTAGATCGGGCCCCTCCTCTGTCCCCTCTCCGCCATGGGCCCTGCCACTGTCCCCCCTTTGGGTGAAGGCTGTGTGTGGGGCACGCCAGGGAGTGGGGTACAGAGAGAAGAATGTGATGAGGGACCCCCACACTTATTCTTACCCCTCCAGGAAGCCCAAAGATTCTCTCCAAGTCAGGTGGAGTGAGGATGTCTCTGCCCACCACAGAGCCCTTGAAGCCAGGGGCGTAGGCCTCGATGCAGTCGAACACTGGTCCGGGCAGCAGGGAGATGGGGTGTTAGGAGGAGGCATTATGGTTCACAATTTGGCAAGTTTACTGTAATTCATTAAACTATACACTGCAAACTACATCTCAATAAGCAAAATTAGATAGATAGATAGATAGATAGATGGATAGATAGGTAGATAAAAACAATCCTCAGGCAAATAAATAATTCAGTACAAAGGCCTATGGACCTCACGCTAGTCCCACCTTCTTACCTAAACCCTCAACACAAAGTTATTTGTTTCTCCTTGACTGTGCAAAGCTTTCCTTACTGCATCGCTTTGCTCAAGCTATTTCTTTTGCGTGGAATGCCACCTGCTACCTGGCGAACTCCTGTTCATCCTGTAAAGCCCAGCTCCCATGGCCCCTGCTTTGGAAAGCTCTCCACGTCCCTCTGCCTACGCTTCCTCCTTCAGTTCACACAGGACCTTGTACTGTAAGATTGGTTTCCTTGTTACTCAACCCACTGGACTGTGAGCCACTTGAGGGCAGGACCTGTGTCTGTTTTACTTTCTTAGCCCAGTGCCTGACCCCGGGCATTCACTATGTAGACTTAGGTTCCCTTGGATAATTCTCTTCTCATGGGACAGATCCTGAAGGCGGGGGACTCAGAGGAGAGGGGCCCTTCAGACCACCCAGCCAGCTGCCACTGCGGACAGGAAGTCTAGCGGAACCCCTTACCTTTGTCTGCATAAGCGTTTCTCTCCTGCTCATCCCAGACTTTGCCTCCGGCCAGGGTGTAGGGCGTGTACTGAGTGAAGAGGGAGACCACGTGGCAGCCGGGGGGAGCCAGCGTGGGGTCCAGTGAGGAAGGGATGCAGAGCTCAATCATAGGCCTGTGACAGGAGGGACGGTCAGATCCGAAGAAGCAGTTGCCCCAAGGGCAGGGGCTGGGGCCGCTCTGCGATGACAGGGGACAAGAGGAAGGCCTGGGACGAGATGCCGCCCAGGCCGGCGGATCGCCTCTGTGAGGCCAAGGTGGCTGGTCACCGGCACAGGGGCAGTGGCCACCAGGGGAGTCCAGACTACTCCCGAGGAGCCCAGCCCCAGCCCCGGCCCCAGGGTCTCTGGTCCCACCAGCCCCAGCCCCGAATGCCTGGCCTTCCCTGCCTTCCTCCACCGCAGCCTGTAGAACAAAGGGTCTCAAATGTCCCAGGTCCAGACAAACAACACGAATGAGCCAAGGGGCCAGGCTAAGTCAGCAGGCGCTTGGGCAGCCAGGTTTCAACCTCTCTTACCCCTGCCTGGTCGCCTGCCCCGAGCAGGCCAAGCAACACAGAGCTGCCGGGCACCAGCAGCCCAGGAACCGCCTCCTGCCCCTCCCTTGTTACAACACCTGTTCCGCCTGCAGCACAGTGTTCCTCTGGCCTCCAAACACTGCCATCCTTCGTCCACTGAGTGCCCCTTCTCCCAGCGTCCTCTGGGCTGTGTGTCCACTAGGCCCCTCCAAAGTAACTTGCCAAACCGAATGCCTGGGATCCGCTAGAACCCGCTCCTCCCTGCCCACACCTCCTACCCTCCCCGACAAAGGAAACACCCTCTCCTGGGGCTTCTCTTTCTCGTTCCGACCCCACTTCCTGCCCAACAGCCAATCCTGGCAGCTTTGCCTTCAAATACCCAGTATGTGGCCACTTCTCATCACTTCCACCGCCCCCACCCTGGGCCAAGCCTCCACCCCTTCTCCCTTGGGTTCTGTAATAGTAACCCATTGCGCAGATATCCTTTTTCTCCGCACAGTGGCCACAGTGGTCCTTCTGAAATGCAAGCGAGGCTCCGCCCACACTCCCCTGGAGGAAAGTCCAGCAGTGGTCGACAGCCCAGCAGGATGTAGCAGCTGCGGCTCAGACCCCACCACTGCCCTTCACTCCCAGGTTCTCTTTCTCCAGCCACTCTGGCCTTATTCCTGTGCCTCCCACACAGCAGCACCCTCCTGCCCCAGGGCCTTTGCACCTGACTTTCCCTCTGTCTGGATGTTCTTCCTCAGATACCCACAGACCTCCTTCAGGTCTCTGCTCAAATGCAAAGTTATTAGCGAAGCCTCTTCTGACCCTCTAATGAAGACTAGCAACCATCCCACCTCCCCCCGACCTATTTTTCTCCATGTCACAGTGCATGGCTATCTTGTCTCCACCATAAAATGCCAGTGACCTGAGGGCAGAGGCCTTGTTGACTCTGCTTCTGCGTTGCACCCTGGTCCCTGAACTAACCTGTAACAGAGCAGGGCCCCAAATATTTATGAATGGATAAGTGGGCTTCGCCCTCTACCCTTCTCTGAGGGCCCACATCCTCTTTACTTCATGCTGTTAACGTTTGTGTGCCCGTCTTGTGATGAACTTAGTGTCTGCCTCATGCCCCTACCCGACTCCTGGTCCCTTCAACCTGTGCCTATACAGAGCCTGGCACAGAATCGGTTTTCAACAGGTTTTGGGGGACATGGACAGGATGGGAAGATGCTCTTGTGATGAACTTAGTGTCTGCCTCATGCCCCTACCTGACTCTTCAACCTGTGTCTCTACAGAGCCTGGCACAGAATCGGTTTTCAACAGGCTTTGGAGGACATGGACAGGATGGACAGATGTTTGCTCCCGAACATCCCTGCCTGTCCCTAGGATGGAGATACAGCTGCGGTGCGGTGGGAGGTGGAAAATCCTTTTCCAAGTTTTGCATGAAGCAGCTTATCAGAGATAAGAGCAGATATGGAATCGCTGAGTGTGGGCCCCTGGGCAGGCGGCTGAATTGGATAAATGCCCTTTCTCTCCCGCATTTTCTCCAGTTCTTCCCAAACGCCAGCTCTGTTCTCTTCGCTCCTTCTGCTAATCCGTGCTACTTGGCTGAACCTGCTGCCCTCTTCGTCCCTTCCCTGCCCCGACCCATACTTCCTGCCTGGGATGCATTTCCTCGCCTTGGATCTAAGTGTGGATTTAGGCAGGTCCTACCTCGTTGTGAATATTTAACACCAGGAGGAAGAGACAACCCTACTGTGTCCAGACAGTCGCCCCACCTCCCTAGGGCCATGGCTGAGAACACCCCAGGGATGCAAAGCCCAGGGACCGCTCACCTGTGGGAGGGCCGGCCATCCATGGCATCCTCAAAGGCCTGGTGGAGCAGGTGGGTGTCTTCACAGTTCAGGTGGATGGAGCACTGGTGATGGGGCAGCGGCTGGCCCCTGGGAGCATTGGGGGCCGCCAGGAAGTCAGGCAGCCGGTTGACAGCCACTGAGGAACCAAAGGAAGGGAGGGGTCAGGGCCCCACGGCCTGTGTCCTCTGCACCCCGGGATCCTCCTTCTCTCCCCATCACCCTGCTCACTCTGGGAAGAGAAAGTATGAAAAAGTGTTTTCCCTTCAAATCAGGGGGCAGGCTGGGGGTCGGCCTGGGAGCATTGGGGGCCGCCAGGAAGTCAGGCAGCCGGTTGACAGCCACTGAGGAACCAAAGGAAGGGAGGGGTCAGGGCCCCAAGGCCCGTGTCCTCTGCACCCCGGGAATCCTCCTTCTCTCCCCATCACCCTGCTCACCCTGGGAAGAGAAAGCATGAAAAAGTGTTTCCCCTTCAAATCAGGGGGCAGGCTGGAGGTTGTGGATAGAAATGATGATGAGGTCAGTTTCCCCCAGACCTGGACCCTGCTCACTCTGAGCGTGGCCGAGAGACGGCCCTGCAGTGGGCTTTGCTCTTACCATTGATCTTGGTGACCGGCGACCGGATGTCCAGCTGAGAGATCCTCTGTGTGAACTCTTCGGGAAGCCATTCCTGCAAGTGGAAGTTTCCATAAAGGCCTGGCCCCAAAGTGGCGGCCTTCCTCCTTTGCTCAGACCGGTCTCTTGACCTCTACTTCCGGAAATCCTCTCCATCCTCAGAGCTCAGCCAGACCCCCTCCTCCATGAAGCCCTCCCCTCCTGCTCAGTGCTGACCACTCTTCCTCTGTGACCTGCCAGCAGTCCTGACTGTAAATGGCCCACACTGACTCCTGCTTTCGACACGGCCAGTGGTCTGCAGGCCTCTTTCTCCTCCCGTCCGTAAGCTGTTGGAAGTCTTGATGATCTCAGAAGTGCCTTAACAAGAGGCTTCTGAACAGATGTTTGTTGGATTTTAGTAGTGGAATCACTCAGAAAAAGAGGTGCTTGTCTCAAGAATAGCCCCAAGAATGGTTGGGAGCTCCGTGCTCATATCATCGCCTATCTTAGGGACAGGGGAGGTGTGGTCAGTTGCAAGAATT